CAAAACCGGAATCTCGCTCATACATTCACACTCATCCAGACTCACCCTCACTGTCGTGCGTGACCGTCTCGCGTTCTAATCGTTGGTATTTCTTTAAGTTCTGTGATTTATTAAAATAATATTCCAATTTCGTCTGGACGAATTCTGAATTGGGCTGAATTCTAACTTCGGCCATAACATAAATATGCCGTCGTCCGCCCATTCCACAACATTTTGGTTGGTTAGACAGAATAAAGGAAAAAATTAAGCGTGCATTTTTTTGTTTATAACGCTATTGTTTAAGTCCGAAACAGACAGAAAAGTGAATTGACGTGAAAGTTGAATTAAGAAATATGATAAATACATTAACAGTTAAGTCATCTTTTTCTGACGATTTGCCCCCAAAGGCTATGTACACACAAGAGAAATAAGACAGTTTTATTTCTGTTTTAAATCTGTACCCATTCACTCTATAATAGTTATTCCACTAATTGTAATTCAGCATAGCCTCTATATTAGCATGAAAAAAAATAGAAAAAAGCGAATTATTGAGTGGCATCAATTTCATTCACCTATCTATTCATATATATCTCATTGTTCTGTTATGTTCAATCAAGCTATAATTTGATGGATATATCAAACTTAAATCGCCTCGTCGAGCCGACTTGAATGTGTTTTAAAATTTAAACCAATCAAGTTGTTTAATTCGACATTAATTTTCGTAGTGTGTAAATATCCAAACAGATCGACTTAATCGAAAGTGAATTAACCGATGGAATTGGCGTTGTTACGTAGAAACACCAATCATGTTTATTAATTCACTTTGAATCAATTCAGTCTGTTTGGGACCTTTGGCTCTTGATCAGGGGCGTACCTAGGTCCCCAGAGCAAAGGGGGGGGGGGGGGGGCGTAACCTCCCAAGAGCTCAAAGTCTCGTAAGCAGGCGCGCGTAAAGTATTCATTCATATCAATTCAACAGCTATAATCCCTAAAAAAAGAGCTTTTTTCTATTTTTTTGTTCAAAAAAAACCGAAATTTTCAGAAGCAGGGGGAGGTGTAACGCCCCACTCGCCCCTCCCTAGTTACGCCCCTGCTCTTGATACAATGCACCAATCACATCGCTTAATTCAATTTTCACGTTAATTCACTCTTTTGTCTGTTTGGTGCCTTTTAGGAAAAGAACTATGCAAAGAACACAAGTTTGTTTTCTTTGTGATCTAATGTTCTTTTTACTGTCGATTTCTATATGACATAATCTTTTCCATGCTCAAAGTTTTCAATCTACATTTGATTATTATGGTCAGTAGTTATAGGGAGATTCCTCGCATGAAATAGCAATATAGTCTGATTAAAGAAGAAAAAAAGGAGCATTATTCGTTAGTCACGTTTGTTCATCATGTTGTTAAAATATAAGTAGCCTAGGCTTATTAGTTGTCGTGAAACATAGTGAATCCTTTAAGGATTTGCTACAAGCAGTGTTTCTAATGAAAATCTCTTGTAGAGTGTTCATTGTGCACTTTGGTATGCAACGAAATTATTTGCGCACCCTGCAATTTTGGACAAAGTATACACAGCGTGTACAATCTAGAAAACAGGAATATTGAATGTAAGTATTCCATGTACAAATCCTTATAAATTTAAAGATTTACCGAAAACAGATCTTTCGGATGAGGCCGTGAAAATGCGTTCAAATCCGGTATTTTAATGAAAGTTTACAAGTGATTGTGCGTTAGTCTCAATTTAAGAAGAAAAGACTGGTGAAAATCTGTTAAAGTACAGGATTTGAACGCTGTTTTCACGACAGCATAGGTAACATCGTTTTTTGTTTAAATTGTTAAATTTCTAGAACTTTTTTTCATGGGTATAGTATCATCTTTCGTACAAAGTATTTTCCTTTCAAGCTTGTAGCAACACATCTAGATGAAATGGACTGTGTACAGTGACTGTTTGTAAAACAAACAACGGAAAACGATACTGACGTAACAAGAATCATAAATATTCTTTTGAATATATCCCTGTTTACTGTTTAGGATAAATCCAAATAGTTTCTTGAAAAAAAGATGTGTATAATTGTCGATCGTATATTCATCTTTAGATCATTCATTATCAATATCTTGTATCCGTTTTGATGATTGATGTTGTTCAAAACTATCATCTCTCTTGTGTATCTCAACATGATCATCAATGAACATTTTTAGGGTTAGAAAAAGAACAGCATATGCAGAATATGGTGCATTGTTAAACTTCATAGTGTACAGGAGGCACTTCGCTTCTCACTCGAAGTGTAAACAGAGTGCGCTTGCAAAAAAAATATTCAGTACACTCTACTATATCAGGCGTACTCTGTCATTAGAAGCACTGATTGAAAAGGTCGATATAAGCGACTATACATTTCACAAGCTTCATTCAACAGTCTGTATAGGTTACCGTCAGTCGTTTGAACCAATAGAGTTACGTTCCAATTTTTATTTTTTTCTGTCCACGAAATGTTTCACTTGTGTATGAGAAAGTGATGTGCATGATCGAACTATACGAACATTACCATTACAACTGATTTCTTTAACGAAATTACCTGACGAAACAATATACTCAGCACACATGATATATTAACTGAATTAATTCATAGTCATAATCTTTAAATTTAAAAGATATACTTGATAATATATTGAGTTGGTCACTCATTCTAAATGGAAAAATACTGAAAAATACGTTTGAAGGATATATAACTTTATTTGTTAGCGTGTTAAAGCGTGTGTGTGTTCGTTTGGATATTCATTCCATCTACACCCACACCCACGCCCACCCCACACCCTACATGATAAACTTTCATTACGTGGAATAATGTTAGCGATCATGAGATATTAAAATTATGATTTCAAAACCTGCGTTCAGTACTGAACCTATATTGTCAATAAGGATATAATTATCACTCTTTTTTGATAGCTTACTTTTATTTAAAAGACGATTTCCATTGAAAAACAAAGAGCTCAACTGATTCTATGCAGAAAAAGAACTGCTAGACACATTTATCATTGAGACAATGAAAAGTTTTTGCTTGGATAGTACTTATTATTCCTTGTTACGTATTTTGAAAACAACATGGCTTAACATGTACTAACATTTTCTGACCAATATATGCCCAAAAAACAATGTTAACTTATTTGAATTTAATAGATTGAAACTTGCATATATAAAATATAAATGAAACTAAAAGAAACCGTTTATACCATTCTAGAATATTTTTTCTTGAAAAAGATCCCGTCTGAAACCGAACATTATTTTCAGTTATACAATATTAACATGTATTATGTGCTATCTTTTTATTATACCACCATCAATAGATATTTGAAAATTAATGTTGAAAATATTATACATCGGTTGGCTGTCATTTGCATCTTTATTCGAAGGATACCTTCCATAAGCAGTAATTAATACAATTCTATTAAGAGCTGTCAGCCGTTGTCAAGGTCTATAAGTTCCCTGGTAGCAAGTTACATTATTGGACCACCATTGTATTCAACTTATTGACACAGATAGAGTCTAAAACTAGATGGAAACCACGAGCTGTATGGATTTTGAAATTCGATGTAATTTTCTGATGTTTTAACACGTCTCTTGAAATCTCATGGGCTTTCGCAAAGTCTCAGGTGTTTCTCCTTAGGTTGAGAGACAAAGCACATTATGATTAAAGCGATGTTCAAACATACCACCAGGATAAAATGCCTCACATCTTATTATATATTTCGGTCAATTTAATGTTTTCCGTCTTGAATCAAGCAGATCATGCCTCTTCCTTCAAAGACAATTATCCAGTCGGTTCATTCAGTTTTTCTCTTCTGTTAATTTCAAAATAAATAATGGCGAGAAAAGAGCAAAAACACAAATGCAACATGATCTATTGAAAAAAGCAAAGTGTTTATATTATGAATTGAGGAACAGAAAGCTTCTCTTGTATTTAATTCTACCTAGTTTTTAAATAAGGTACCGAGATCGATACTTATCCAAAACTATGAGATTTTGATGGATACTTGAGTATATACTCAAGTATCAATAATTTGTTTGTTCTTGGAAGAAACATATCAAAGATAATCCAAGCGTATTTCTATCAGGGTCGCCAAATTCAAGGCTTAGAAATCACGAGTTTTCTATAAAAAATTAGAAGTTTATCAGGAGAATTTTCTTAAAAAATCAAGAGAAAAATCAGAAAATGTTTTTGTGCACGCTTAAGGCAGATAATTGTGAGACTGTTTGACACCGCGGAATGCCATGGTTCATTGAACAGTAGATGAGCAATTGAATTCAGTTGTATCGATAATAGAAAATATGTTCAGTTGTTTCTTCTAGAAACAGATATAATATCTATGTCAGCATTTATATCAGTCAAATTTACTGGTAAATAATCTTACACATTTTATCTTCAACTGACTTCACATAGTCTGAATATTTCTTTTTTTTCGTATGAGCATAAATATAATCTATTTTCGATGGCAGGTCAAGAAGTCTTTCAGAGTATGTGATCTGTTGAGGAATACATGAAGATTTGATGGTAGACAAGTTTCTTTTCAAAACTTTTCATCATGAAAAAGAATTGTCCTTGTTGGTATATATGTTTGGATGTATCACAAATACTCTAATCACGCTAATACTTCAACTACTGTTTCCAATTAAAAACTTAACATTACAAGCAACACACAACGCTTTTGTTTGTGTTGACATGCTTTCAGAAATGAAGAATATGTTGCAGTAAATAACCAATCGTTTTTAAATACGGATTCATAACATGTAGTTGTTCTGATGTGACAATGAAGCACTTTTCGATGTTGAAATATCTTTT